GTGACGCGATGCCGTAAAAAAACACGCCTCCTTCCAGAAGTCATAAGCGTGCGCATGCGTAGAAGCGGAAGTTACATTTTCGGTAGGTGTACTGTAACATTTTCGGTAGTGACACGAACTATGGTTTCGGGAAACACCTGCGTCGTACTTACATAGTTCGAACGACGGAAGTTAGTAACGATGGTTTCGGGAAACACACCCCCGGTCCGGAGCAGACTTGTTCACTCATTTAAGTTACCATGGTAGCTCAGCGGGGTTTCATTTAAGACACGTTGATGAAACGAAATTTCCACTTAAATGAGCCAGACTTGTCGAAATAAGTCAGACTTTCCCTTAATCCTGCTTCGTGGAATACCCTCTGGGCCTTACTAAAAACATGGATTTAAGCCCTGCAAGACCACCCCTTTTACTGGCCATGTTGAGTAAAAACCCCAGACACCGTGAATAATCACAAAAAACACCAATTAAGAGAATCATTGTTTTAAATAAAAGATTCATTCACATCCAACAACAAGCCCAGTTACGGTATTTACCGGTTAGGTAGTGGTCTGTTTAATATTCAATAAAGATCCTTTATATTTATATATTTTATTGTGTTCTGTAAATTTAATACATATGAGATCGTTATATGTTTACGGAAAATATTCATTCAATAAGCCTACTCATTACTTCACACGTCAAAAACAAAGTTTTAACCACATGTTTATTAAATCTGTACCAAATTTTGAAAGGAGAAATTGTTTCTTACCATCGGAAACTCCGTGGTGCTTAATGAATATGTAGAAGACAAAACAAGGAAATTACTAATAAGCTTAAGCATCGATCCTCAAAAGGTAATTATAAGCATTAATTTGACATAGATTTGTTCTGGACATTGTATCCTGGACACTGTCTGGTACAGTAGCATGGGTGTGGTACTGAGTGGGCAGGGGGTGTACCTGTCCACCTGACAGTGCAAAGCCAAATTTAACAAATCATTAGTGATTTAATAGAATTGTCCTGGGACCCGAGTATGAGAGTTACGGCAGTTTTCAAAAAGCGGCATTGGAGATTTTTGGGGTGTGATTTTTAGCCCTGTGAAATCACTGGGAATGCTGCTGCAACTTCACCCTGCCCCACCCTTCTCCCTCTCCGAACACAACCCACCCCTCCCCACAAGTCCCGAGTGCAGCGACAACATGGAGACAGACATAGGCACAGACTTGCTAGCAAAGAGGAGGAAAAAAATATCGAGATATAAATCACCAAAAGAGTCTCAGAGTACTCGTAGATTTGTAGAAACAAAATCCTGGTCTGGATTTGTACCTGCTGACCCAGAAATACCCAACTCAGTGTTATCGTCCCTGTGGGGAAATTCTTTTTACACCTCCCTCAACTTACTCCTTGTAGAGCAAGCTGTCTGTGAAGGGCAGCCACCTGTTGGGCCATGCTGAAGGACCCCCAGCAAGTTGAGAAGGTTGAGAACAACTGGTCTACAGAGCTGATTCTGAGGAGGGGGGGGGGGCAGTTTGAGGTGGCTGAAGGTTGTGGTTGCATGTAGATTTTAATTATGTGAACCACTGGTCTTGGGAAGTTCAAGTGTTTGTCATGTGCTTATTTCTATCCACTCAGTGAGACATCTACTGGGGTGTATGACTAGTTAGTTAGACAGTCCCAGGGGATAACGAGCCCCTGGGACTGTCATTCTTGTTGGTGACTGACCTTGATATGTTTCATTCACACCAATAATTTATGCTGCAATAAATATGTCTACTACTGTAAGTAAGAACTTGGCTGTGTGAATCTTGATCATTTCTGGCTAACCCAGGCCAAACTGGTTAAACAAAGGTGGTGACAGTGGCTATGGTATGTTGCTTTTAGAAAAACAAAACAAAAAAATACGGGCTTACGAGAATACAGTGCTAATACTGATTTGCATTTCTGCATGTGATCTACTGAACAAGTCATGCAACATTCCATTTTCAAAGGTTAAGTCAACATGTTACACAACCCTTGTACGTTGGCTGTAAATACGAATAATGACGCTTTATAACTGTGAGCTATGTAGCTATGCAGAATAAAAAAGCATGACTTATTACAGGAGTGGCGTTTACCTTTCACAATGACCTTAACCTTATTGTAAAGGTGCTCTTCACTTCAATCATAAGCCTGTAGTAGCCCTGATAAGTGGGGGTGACACTTCTGAGGATGAGGTTTCCTGAGCGCAGCTCAGCGTTGCCGTCTTGGATCGTGGTGCCGTTTAGTAAGAGCTGTTTCGACTTCTGATGACTGAACTACCACTGCGGTGTGGGTGTAAAAATTGATCATCAGAAGTGCTCCAGGTTGTAAAGAAACAGATTCTTTGTGACCTGCAAACAAAACATACATTTAAGCCTAAAGTGAAATGCTAAATTTACGTCACTCAGCACAGCCATAGGAAACTGACGTGAGTTTTATTTTAATGTAGGCTGACTAACAGGAGCCTCCTGCATAAAATGAAATTTGTGTACAAAGTGAAAACATTTAATTTACTTTTCAAAGCAAATTTAGATCTTAAGTTTATTTCTCCATAGTAAAGTGAAATGTTCTCCTACCATTATATGGGGTATATATGAACTGAGATGTTGCACAGCGTAATGTTGTGGTCCTCATGTATCAATTCATATATCCCATGTTGTTGGGAAGTGAGATTGTTCACTTGTATTTTATTATTTATTTTGTTGTAACATACATTTAAGCCTACAGTGAAATGCTAAATTTACATCACTCAGCACAGCCATAGAAAACTGATGTCAGACTTATTTAAATGTAGTCTAACTACCAGCAGCCTCCTGCATAAATTTAAATATGTGTGCAAAGCAAATTCAGATCTGAAGTTTATTACTCTATAGTAAAGTGAAATGGGAGGGGCAGATAGGCAGGATGTAAACCCCCCCCCCCCACCGCCAAAGCATGCATTCTGGGCTTATTGTCCCTATCTGGAAAGGGAAGGATTGCCTGGGTCGTCCTGGCTAAGATCATCCTCAACAGGACTCGTGTATTGAAATGCCGTTTCGCCCGGCGAAACAAGGTCAAGCATATTGTCCCCTCTTGCTGCAAAATCAATGTTCTGATGAAACTTTGGTAGAACTGACTTAAGTGAAGCTTTGTTGAAATCCCCCGCGACGATGAAGACGCCGTCTGTACTCCTTGTAGAGCAAGCTGTCTGTAGTAGGGTTGCCAACCGTCCCGAATTGTCCGGGACATCCCGAAATATGGATGATTTTGATTCATCCCTTCCCTGAAGGGACGAATCAAAATCACCCTTCATTGAAGGGAGTATCAGTTACAGAACTATGGCCATGTGGTGAGTTTCACTAAGGGTGATCTGGCTTGCAGGATCCTCATTGCTGAGGACCTTTGTGGCTGGACCAGGCCAGGGAGACACCCACGTAATACCTGGCTGTGGCAGTTAGACTGAACCATTTATTGGCCTGGGGGGGGGGGTCGCCAACGAATGATGGCAGTCATAATTTCTTATCATCAATAATATATAGAATAATTCAGAGTTAAATAAGCTCCATTTAAAGGCACTGTGAAGTGGTGGCTCTGAAGCTGGGGATCTGTGTCAGCAACTGGAAGGCTGCTGGTTCAAATCCCGTGAATGCTGGGAGTGATTCTGTTCCATTGGGCCATTGAGCAAGGCCCTTCATCTGCAATTGCTTCATCCTGGGTATGATGTTAATCTACCTCCAGCCCTATAAGGAGGTTCTCCAACTTACAGGGAATTACTTGGGGGTTGGTGGCAGGATTGGCACTCCAGCCACCGGGAAAAAACCTCACATGGGTCCATTTGGACTAGAGTGGTGTTGAGGTATCCCCTCATTTAAAGGCACTTCTATAATTATTCAAACTTTTTCTGTCAAGTAGAAACAAGAAAATGTTTATACACACACAATCATGATTAATTACAAGCTTAAAATGCTAGTAAGCTATTTGCTTGTATTTTTTGGAAGATGAAACAAATATGTGTAATGTGTATGGTCGTGGAACAAAGAAATGCATGACAAACTGGTAAGAGCAATCACAGGTTGTTTTTTTTTTTAATATAAAAATGTATGTCAGTAATGTAATTAGCAACTATGCTTTTGGGAAATGTATTCACATTGTGCTTTTATTTTTTCATTTTGTTTGGGAACACGTAAGTTGCATCATTTATGTGAATTATACAAGTGTTTTTAGTTCAAAAGTTTATTTTTACCAAAAATATTTTATTTTCAACAGATACAATTCATACTATTTTAAGCTATTTTACAGATATTTTACAACATGTGTTTCATAATAAGCTAAATAAAATGATTGCTTTGTAGTTTTATACTTGCAAAAAAGTCTCATAAAGTTAGAAACACTAAAGGAACAACAGCAGTTTTCATACATGTATAAAGCCAAGTTTTTACAGTAGCGATCAAAATTAGAAAACAAGTGACATTTTGTAATTTACAAAGCTTATCCAAATTCAGTCATGTATGAATTGCAGAGATGTGTTTTTATTGTATATCCTCAGTGAAAACTCATCACAAAATAGAAAGCTGAAGCTCCTCGCTCAGTGTAAACAGAACCCAGACTGACAGATTATCTTCTCATTATCATATAAACAGAGCTATTTGCAAATGGGTGGATCAACACTGCTTCCAGTCTGAAACACCCGAGTCTGTGACTCTTGGATCTTTTCATCATTCTCGTAACAAAGCTCTAAAAATGTATTGTTTACCTGTAAAAAAAAAGCCAGCTGAAATCATCCTGTTGAGTTATTTTTTTTTACCAGTTGCAATATAAATATACACACACACATATTCTGTTTTATCCTGCTGGCAGAATCATGAACTCCAGAGGATTAATTTACTTAAAAAAACAAAAAACAAAATGGTGTGTTAAATGGTAAATGGACTGCATTTATATAGCGCTTTTTACTACTCTTACGAGTACCAAAGCGCTTTACAGTTATGCCTCACATTCACCCATCCACACTCACATTCACACACCGGTGGCAGAGGCTGCCATGCAAGGCGCCAACCAGCTCACCGGGAGCAATTTGGGAGGACCCGCGGCTCGAACCTGCAACCCTCCGGTTGCCGAACGGTAGCACTACCTCCTGCACCACCATCGCCCCATATGTTAAGGTTTCCAGATTAAGGACAAGCGTTAATGCGTTAATGTTGACAGCACTGATTTTAGACTGTCTGGACCCTGTGAAAGTCTGTGGATGTTTTCGGTTCTGTGCGGGACTTTACCAGTTTTCCCCTTCTCTTTGTTCCCTTTACATATACAACTGTGACAGTTAGAGCAGTGACTATAATTAAGGCACTCAGGACCATCGCTGTAATGAACATAGAAGTTTCAGGTTCCGGCAAGGCTACAAGGAATAAAAACATATTTCAAATGAAAAACATGATCTGTAAGTCAGATACGTCATGAGCTTGTGGCATTCAGTGTAGTGCTGAATTAGAATTTGGCGATCAGTATTGATACATCACAGCACACAACAATGAAATGTGTCTTCTGCATTTAACCCATGTGCAACATTGTGACATAGCAGGGGGTAGCCAATTCAGCACCCAGGGAGCAGTCCTTGGGGGTGGTACCTTGCTGGCTGAGGATTCAAACCAGCAATCTTTCAATTACAAGTATGCTTCCCTAACTATTAGGCCACCACTGGTGCTTGCGGAAACAGCAAATGAATCTGAATGAGCCCCAAATGATTTGTTCAGCTCAGATGTTTTGACAATTTATACAATTTAATCAACAGAAGAAAGAATGAACTTACTTTTGTCTTCTGTATTTTCAAACCCTGTCAAGAAAACAGATAAAAAGGTGTGCTTTAGATATAATTCATGTTAAATGCTGTGATGAGACTGAAACCCTCAGAAGGCATCATAAGCAAAGTTTATTAAATTTATACCAAATTTTGAAGGCAGAGAAATTGTATCTTACCCTGGTGAAACTCCATGATGCTTAATGACTCTATAGAAGACAAAACAAATTACCAATAAACTTAACTCGCGTTGTCTCACACAATTGCGTGCGCTTTTAGTGGGATTTTCCACTAAATGCTGCTCCCACCTTTCAAAACTTTTTTTACAAAGACTGCAAATCATTGTGCTACTAGTTTCTCTTAAAAGCACAAAATACTTCCAGATCATAACCCTGTTATCTGGTGTTCTTGCACTCTCCTAACTGCAAACATTATGTGCATGATGTCTCAGCAGACAGAAATCACTGCGCTCACACCCACTGAGTGGCAAAAAATCTGAGTGGCAGCATTAGTGCCCATATTGAATGGTGCAAAAAATTACATCTAAAATGGGAAATAGCTGTCGTGCGATTGATTGTACAAATAGGAGCTCTCTTTTTAAAATCTAAATAAGTAAGTATCGGGCGTGGATCAGTCACGTATGGCCGATATCCGATCCATCAAATAGGTCACTGCATCTCTGTGTTGACTGCTGTATTATCAGTCAACATGTTACACAACCCTTGTAACATCCAAAATGGAAAACGTTGGCTGTAAATATGAATAATGACAATTTATAATTGTGAGCTATGCAGAATAAAAAGCATGACTCATTACAGGAGTGACATTTACCTTTCACAATGACCTTAACCTCGTTGTAAAGATGCTCTTCACTTAAATCATAAACCTGGTAGTAGCCCTGATAAGCGGGGGTGACACTTCTGAGGATGAGGTATCCCGAGCGCAGCTCAACGTTGCCGTCTTGGATCGTGGTGCCGTTTACTAAGAGCCGTTTCGACTTCTGATGACTTTCGGGTACAAACTGAACCACCACTGCGGTGTGGGTGTAAAAATTGATAATCAGAACTGCTCCAGGTTGTAAAGAAACAGATTCTTTGTGACCTGCAAACAAAACATACATTTAAGCCTACAGTGAAATGCTAAATTTACGTCACTCAGCACAGCCATAGAAAACTGACGTCAGTCTTTTTAAATGTAGGCTGACTAACAGGAGCTTCCTTCATAAATTTAAATATGTGTACAAAATGAAAACATTTTATTTTACTTTGCAAAGCAAATGTAGATCTTAAGTTTATTACTTTATAGTCAAGTGAAATGTTTTCCTACCCTTGATATGAACTGAGATGTTGCACAGAGTAATATTGTGGTCCTCGTGTATCAATTCATATATCCCATGGTGTTGGGAAGTGAGATCGTTCACTTGTATTTTGTTATTCGCCACAGAAATAGAATCAGTAAAGCCAGCATGGCATAGTCCACTGCCGTTTTGTATAATACACAACTGAAAAGGTTCCCCGAAGATTGTTGGACGAAACAGTAAGATAGATGGCTGCTTGTGGGGTATGGAGATTTCCACATTTTTTCCAGCATACTCTATGTACTCTTGCTGATACACTGAAAGGCATGAAAATGCACATGCTATATTTCACACCGATTAAAATTAAACGAAAACACACATGAATGAGACATGTTACTTGTTCGTTTAAAAATACAAATACATTAACAAAAATAAATATTATAATCTTAAATTTCAGTTTTGGCGGTTCTGGGAACTGTTGTGGTGGTGTGACTCATGTCGTATGGTCAAGTTAGTTTTAAATTTACCTGTATTGCTGTTGATTTGGTGTGTGAGACCCCACACCTCAGCAGTAGTGCATTAGGGGTGGGACGAATTACGCATATTAAGAATCACGTTATGCCGATCTTACCTTCTACACTTAGTGCCATGGTGACAATATTTTTTCCGTGCAAATCAGACATCATATATTTCCCTGTGTCAGCTGGTGTGAGTTTATTTACATTTACAAAGTCATCTTGCACTGTCACACGGTGCTGAAACCATGAGGAACAGTTCACAAGATCTCCATGGACTTTGCAGAAGGCAGCATGTTTGACAGACTGAGATGACTGGAACACAATTTTCACTTCTGTGTGATTATACAGAGGAATGAACAACACATCTCCAAAGTCCTTCTGGACTGTTTCATGAAGTCCTGTCAAAAAAACAAGATGTTAATGTTCCCTTAAAATAATACATTGATTTTTAGAGAATCATAGATGATTCAAAGTGTACTTGTACACTAATCTTCCAATTGTTCCAATGTGTCAGTTCTGCTGAGGGTTATATGAATTGTAAATGACCCATAGCTTGCAAGTGTGTGCCCTGTGATGGACTGGGATCTTCCCAGGTTGTTCCTCTGCAATTACTAAGATATGATCTAGCTACACCACGATCCTCTGCTTGTGGAAATAGACAGAAGACATATGTTACTATTTACTATAACTTACCCATAATGAAGCTGACGAAACATGTCCCATACAAGAAAGCCTGTTTAAAAAAAGACTGAGTTTAATACAAACATGCACATATGAAACACACTTAACTCTATTTCCAGTCACACAACATTATGTTTACATGTAAAAATAAGCCAGCTGAAATCATCCTGTTGAGTTTTTTTTTTTTTTCTCCCAGTCGCAGTGTTTCCCCTACTATTATATTAGGGGAGCGCCCCGCCCCACCCAACGGCACCTCCAGCCCCCCCTTGAAAGTCAAGTTAATTTCACTTGATTTTATTTTCTATATAGCGCCAGATCACAACAGAAGTAATTTAAGGAAAGGAGAGAGTAGATTACAATGAGTAATTTGAAAATTGCAAATTGCAAAGTGCATTATTATATTATGTGGTGCATGACTGATTAGTGTGCTTCCTTGTCATAGGGCATATTAACGGGCAAGAAGAAATCAAAGTATCTGAAAAGGTTTCTGAAACCATCTTCTTACATCGTTCCTGTGTATTTCAAGGATGATGAACAGCAAAACCATATACCTTTCATACACCTTAAAGATTCCTTGACAGGACCCCTACTGTTTTGCTGATCTAGGATAAAATCAAGTTCATTCTTGATGTATTGATGCCAGAGGTAAGTGTTGAATTAATTTTGAATTTTGAATGCACTTGATTAAGTTGCTGAGCTTATTATTTGGTAGATAAATCATGAGTTTTATTCCAGTGCACCATCTATGGCCTTTCTGCACTTCATAATACTGATTGTAAGAAGGCAGAGGAAATGTTCCTTGCAGACCTTCCGTTAGATCAAAGCTATGTATTCATATTTAATCGAGTTTTATTTTTAATTATTCTGTAAGTTAAGCAATTTTTCTTCTTTTCAGTGAGAAAGATGTCTTCAACGAATCAGTTGAGAAGTACATGAAAAGGAAAGGTGTTTGGTTGTAAGAATTGTACTTACTATGTTTAAATCTTTTTGTTTGTTTGATCAGAAGACATCTTTAATTAGTGTGTTTCTTGTTTTTCTCTCTTCCTTTTTTATGCTCCCCTCTCTTCCACTCTCTTTTTATTGCTCTTAGTACTACAATGTATATATGTGCATTTTTATTTTTATATAGTATTTATACATTTTGATTTATATATCATTGTCTTAAAATAAATGTTTGTTTCAACTTCAAATCTATCATCTGAATTTTGCATCATAATAAACTACATATTAGTACATATAAGCTACATTATAGTATTAAAATATTAACAGATTAATATATGTAGTGTGTGTTCATAAAGAAGTTTTAAAGGAAACATTTTATCATAATTGTTTATATTAATAACCCCCCCCCCATACATTTGTATTTATTACCAAACACGTAAATGTAATAAAATTTGTAAGATTGTGGTCATTTTGCTCTGATTAAAATCTTCTAAAAATAAATATTTGGTGTTATAAAACTCTGAAGGTATATATGTTTTAGCAAAGTTGTTCCTTTACCAGAGTGCATTCCCCAAACAATGTCTTATGACAGACATACATTACTCGAGATGTGATTATCCCCATCATGCAGCGACTTTTGGACTGAGTTATGACAGAAAGTTGTGTATAAATCAACTAAAAAATTTGTTTTTATAATGAAAAAAAAATTCAAGTGTAATTATGAAAACTACAAAAGAACACTCATTGCACAGTTTGTTAAATTGATTTGACTGTGTGCAGCCTACATAAATGTATGTGGTGGACATATATGTGCAGCGAACAGTGTTAGTCTAAGATGTGTACCCACCCTAAATTTTGCATCGGTACTTGAGCCAGGATCCATAGATTCTAATATTGCACTTCACCCCACTAAAGCACCAGACAATAAGGCTGATTTGGCTAAATTAAATTGCTATACACATTTTCATGGTACCTTGAATGAGTTTTCAATATTCGTCGATTTAATAGCAGTCCCACATTATAGATATAATTCATTTCCTTCTGGTACATTTGTCATAAAGGCAAAAATGATCGATATACGTATGTAGGTACACACGACAGAAAGACTGAATTGCACAAGAGCAAAAATTTAAGTAACGCTACGGAGAGCCTTAGTTTTGCCGAAGTACCAAGACACCTTAATATTTTCTCAAACAAACCCTACAAATTATACATGTATTAATAATAATAGACACAATTCATTACTGCTGATTAAACGATTACATTGCAGTATGTTTTGCGCACCCACACACACGTTGAAAATGTCTAACAATAGCAACATATATGGTAAAAACAATGTTCTGTCAAAAGTACAAAGCTACATGTAAAGGAAAGACGGGAATATTTCTCCTCCGAAATTCATTGTAACCTCCGTAAACACTACACTAAGAAGTTAATTTGTAAGAAGTAATTTGTTATTTTATCGAGATGAGGTTGCGTATTTATTTTTTGGACGGACTACCCGTAAAACTCCACTCCTAATCATTTTAAGGAGGGACGTCCTGTAAAACGCTCCATTTCCAGTTAAACTCCACTTCCTGTAAAACTCCACACTCCACGCTCCACAGCAGCTGCAGCCAGACCCTTCTCCCCAAGCCCGGATATAGGAGGAGGGTTGTAATTGTGATGTAAAAAAACAAGAATCGTCAGAAGAAAGTTCATTTGTAGTTCTAAACGTATTTAGGATGTTTTTTTAACCACCTTTTGTCTCTCCCACGACATTATTCCTCTCTCCTAGTTCGTCCATTATCAATACATGCATTATTACATTATGCAAATTAGGCGATGGTGTCATTTAGCGACTTCTAGCGACTTTTGGGACAACCAATAGCGACTTTCCTTGCCGAGGAGTTGGCAACAGTGCCAGCGGACAGAGAGCTCACGTTTGAAAATATGTCGCGTCAACCACCTGAAAAGCAGACAAAAATATCTGCGTTTTTTAAACGCTTCCAGGGTGGTGAAGATGCACACTTTGTGGATAATTGTTATAAAAAGAGATGTTCTGATATTTAGTTCAGTTGTTATACTGACTGCTGTCATTAAAAGAAACAGACCATGAATCCTGTCGGTGTCTGTCTGCCCCCCCCCAAAAAGCTGTAAACCTAGGGGAAACACTGAGTCGCAATATAAAGCAATTTCAATTATAAGTGATATTTAGGACAGTCAAGGAGTCTGGATTATTTGCTTTTATTTTAGTCTTATTTTCCGTTTGTTTGTTCTCGAACATAATGTCATAATGAACATTTAAAGACAACTCTTACCTGAATTATTAGATCCATTAGTTCGATGGAGTTGGTTGATAATATAAAAAGAGTTTAAGATTTGAGAAACAAAAGTATTTTCCTGAAGTGACTGACGAGTTCCGTTTTGGGTCTTCTTAATATGGAAAGTCCTTCTTAAAGAAAAGCTTTAAAATATACTTGAAATACTTGGGTTATTCCGAAAATGTACTTACAAAAGAGTAAAATAACCTACATTAGGCTATTACAACTTAGTACCAGTCTGTTGTGGTTAAGAGAGAGCTCATGCAAAGGTAAGTATACCATTCGAAGTGGTCCGCTCCTTCCTGGTTCAGAAAGTGAAAGAGAAAGAGAACGAGAGAGAGAGAGAGATGGTAAACATAGGCCAGACATGCAAAAATATCTAAGTTTGAATCTGATCACTACGGAAGTCTACGGAAGCGTAATGCGTTCACTTGAGAAAAAATAATTCTGCTCTGTTTTTCTGAATTAATGACATAATTATCTCGGAATTTCTGAATTAATGACATAATTATCTCGGAATTTCCGAGATAAAGTTTTCATGTAAAAAAAAAAACCGCTGTTTTTCTGAATTAACGAGATACGGTTTTCATGTAAAAAAAAA